GGGGGGGGGTAATTAAGAAAATTTAAAGACAAATTATGTACACAACTGATTTAACCTAAATTATGTAGGTAAAAATTAGATAAATTTTTTCATTATTAATTAATAATTTATAATAGTATAACTTCAATTTTATTTAAGAAAACCTAAAATTAAACATATAATATATTTATTATAATTGCAAAAAACACCAATCGAATTTAAAACTAATTAAATAAGAATAATGTTTTGCTACTTTTTTAATTAATAGTTTTTTATTTTTATTTATCTTCATTTATATGATAATTTAATTTTAATTGTACCTTGGACCTTTCTGATTTAGAAAATGCTTACATTCAAAAACTATATAGTATATTATTTTTGAAATAAAACGCTAAACCCAGTTTTAATTTTCTCAATTACCCTATCTTTTAGATAATATTTTTATATAATATTATTGTAATTAATAAATTTAATTTTAAAATTAAATTAATCAAATTATAAGGAATGATTAAAATAGATTAAATAATAATAAAAAAATAATTATGAAAATAATACAAGGGTGAAATAAAAGACTCGAACTTTTGATAACACAGCCACAATATGTAGTTTTACCGAACTAAACTAATTCCACCACTTTTAATTATTAAGTTAAATTAGTATAAGTAAAATATAATACGAAAAAGATTTGATAGGGATGATTTATTATAAAAACATTATTGAAAGTTGAAATAAACCTCTGGTTTATGGTTAAAAAACACCCTTATCCTTAAAGGATTATAGGCAAAATATTATTTTCTTGTCAAAAATAAGCCGGTGTGTATTTTCAGGGTGGGGTTTATGTAAATTAAAATACTACTTTAATTATATATTTATCTTTGTTTTTATTTAAAACCTTAAAAGGGTTTTAAATAAAGACTAAAAAGATTTTCAAATTATGAGTAAAGAACTAAGAATGCGATCATTAATGCGAATAGTCCAGTAGCTTCAGCTAAGGCGAAACCTAAAATTCCGTAAGCAAAGGCTTGTGCTTTAGCTTCAGGGTTTCGGCTTGAGGCAGAGATAAGGGCAGCAAAAATGTTACCAATACCGATACCAGCACCAACTAATCCAACACACGCGATTCCAGCTCCAATCATTTTTGCTGCAGCTAACATGTGAATGTAGTATAATTTTTAATATCTAATTTTTTTTTTGAAAACAAAGTTTTCATGGTTTTATTGTATTTATTTAATGTAAATTATTGCTTAGGTGAAGTAGAAAAAGTTCTAATATGTGCCATTTTTAGACTTATCCGATAAGTTCCTTTTCTATTTTTAGAAGTAAATGAACCTAAATCAGAAATATTAGATTTTTCTTTAGCAAGAGAACCGACTGTTATTGTTTTTACAGTTTGTTTTGGTTTAATTGGATCAGATCTTAAACGACCTGCTATTCTAATTGATAGTCCCACTGTTTTACCTAGTGCTAAAGGATTAGAATGAAGATGCTTAATGTTTTTAGTTTGATCATACAATTGACTTAATTTAATATTTTGTTTATCATTTGAAATAGGACTAACTAATTTACTACTAATCTGAATGTTATTATTTAATTTAGAAAGTACAGGCACAATAACTTTATTATTAAAATTAGGATCATAAGCATTGTTATTATCTGAAAGAATTTTATTTTGTTTATTAAAATATATTAAAGACGCTTTAGAAATATTAATTTTTCTTAATATTTTTTTAAGCAATGTAGAAGTTTTATCAAATTTAGCATTTTGAGCTATAACTTGTGATGCTATTGTAGACTCTAATCCCACATTATGCAATTTAAATAATTGAAGATCAATATTTTTTTTAAAAATTTTAGCTAATAATATACCTAAAAGTTTAAATTTTTTAACATTAGTTAAAGCTACATCACCTTCTGTCCCTGACCCACTTGCTACTAGAATATTATTTTTATTGTTTAAAAGTTTATTAGCTAATAAACTTTCTGTAAGTGAAGAAGACAACCCTTTTTCTGTTATTGTGTTTTTTGTAGTATTTTTACTTAAATTTTTATTGATTAAATTTAATATACCACCATTTCATTTAGATAAGAGTTGCATATTATTAAGTCTATTTTCAAATAAATTACCAGCAAGTAAGTTTGCTTTATTCACAAATTCAAAAGAATTAAAAGGTTTTAATGGTTTAGCTATAAAATTAGTGTTATTATTAAACTCATTAGCAAATTGTTTTGATAGTAAAATTAAATAATTATTAACTTTGTCTGCAAGAATTTTAGCTTTTTTAGCGTTAATATTATTGCTATCTATTGATATATTTTTAGCTTTTAATAATAATAATATTGCTTTACTAATTACCTTATATTCAGCAGAAAGATCTAATTTATCTGAAGATCATTCAGATAAATAATTTAATTTAGCTTTAGTTACAGGGCTCATAAGAACACCATTACCAGTTAGTTCTTTAAATCCAATAATTTTATTTTCAGATCCTTTTCCCTTAGTATTTTTAAAGTGAACATCTAAACTGTCAGTATTATTATACATTTTAATATTATTTTGTAGTTTAGCAAGAAGTGATTTGTTGAAAAAAGTTTTAGATAATCTAATTCTTTTTTTAGATAAAGTTTCAGAATTAGTAGAGCTTATTAATTTCATATATAATTTATTATATTTTTTTTGTGCCACATTTGCCAATTTATTTTGACCATTGTAAGCAGACTTTAAAGTAATTGCACCATTTTTTGGTCCAAATGATTCAAAAACAGGAGTTCCTTTTTGCAATTGAATTAATGCTTTTTCAATAGAAAGTTCTTTGTTGTAAACAATAAGGTTCATTAAATCTTTTATAAATAAAATAAACACTTTTTTAGATATATTAGCTAGTTCTAAAGAATTAATAGTTTCATTATTATTAAAAATTGTTTGAGCTATTTTATTTCATTTTGTTTGACCTAACATATCTTTGATGATAGCTGCAAAATTTTGACTTTTAGGAGCATTATATTGTGCTTTTGCTGCAGCCTTACCATTAAATAAATCATAAATAAAATTTAATTTATTATTATTTGATAAATCATCTTTATTAGAATTATTTTGATAAAAAAAGATTTTAATTATTAGCTTATCTGCTTTATTAATAAATTGTGGTCTTGATATGTAGCAAGATAAATTATTAAAAAAGCTTGTTAAAATTTTAATCACATTATTTAATACACCTAATCTAGAAGGGGTTTTAACTAAAACAGGACCTAAATCAGAAACTTTATTTCTTAATAATTTAATAGCATTTTTCCCACCTTTTATATTTGTTAGTCCAAACAGATTTGTATTATCACTTTTCAAAGAAAATTTATTATTTAATAAATTTTGTTTATTTATTAAACGTCTATCAGTATTAACATTTTTATTACTAAAATTAAATATAATATTTTGATTTAACGAACCGCCCATTTTATCATTAATTTTATTATGTGGAAATTTTTCTATTTTTTTATTAAGAACTAATAGTAATTTATTATGGAGATCTAATTTATTTAATTGCATTTTTAAACCTTTCTGTTGGGCACTATTTAAAGGGTGAAATTTTGTTGTATTTTTAATTGATGACATTTTTAGTTAAGAAATTTTGCTCCTTTAATCAAAGGAGGTTTACCATTAAAAAATGGTAGCGTTAGAGTTTATATTTTTGTTAATTAACTTTTTAACACTTACATAATATAAAATATAATAAAAAGTGTTAAATTAGTTCTACTGTTCAAAACTATATTCTAGTTAAAGATTGATGCTAGTAGATTTTGATAAATTAAAATTTAAAATTCTATACACACAGTTAGAACTTAGCGTGAAAGAAAATTTTACAATTATACTATAAAAACAAAAATTTCTCCGCTAGATTTATAGCGGTAGCTTTAGTAATAATGTAAGTCTTAAATTATTGTTTCCAAATTTTACATACAAGGAATTCAATTTAAAAAGCAACTTAAAAATTAACATTTAAAAATAAAGCTTTCTCTGTATTATCTTATCTTCAATATTTAATAATTGTATACTTAAACTTTAAGCTTTGTGCTAAGGCTTGCTTGCGCTTAGTAAAAAGAATATTTTTATTTGTGATCAATAATTAAATAAATTAAAGGAATTGGTTAAAGTAATTATTAACTAATATTTACTTAAATAGGCAGAATCAAATAGTATATGTAAATATAATTAAAATTTTAATATAAAATCAGAAAAAAGCCTTATAAATAGAGTTTAAAATTTTTTAAACAAACAGATGTGCCTTATAGGCTAGTATTAATTTATAATTATATAAATTTTTATTACTTGACATAAATTTAATAGAATAAAACTATAAAAAAATATTACTCTAATTAAATACATTATAATTTTTATATATTTAGCATATTATTTCAACTTATAATTAAATAATAATTAATTCTTTACTCTTTTTGTATTACTTTTTACTAGAATTTAAATTTTAATACAAAGTGAGTAAATTAAAAATAATGGAATATAAAAATCAGAAAGATTAGGTCCTGTAATATTAAAATTTAAACTATTTAAAGGTAAAGAGAGTCGAACTCTTAAGGAATAATTTCCACTTCTACTTAACAAAAGCTTGTCTACCAATTTCAACATACCTTTAGTATTTTTCCTTATTAATAATTGTTCAATATTAGTTAGAATAGAAAATTAAAAATTTATATATTTGATTTTATGTATGAGTAATCGGATTTGAACCGATACCATCATGGTGGAAACATGATGTTCTACCATTAAACTATACTCATTTAATGCATACTATTAGTATTAGTATTAATTATTAAGCAAGATTTTAAATTTAAACTTACTTTTAATTTTATTACTTGGTTACTTTTTTACTTTTTTTACTTTTTCACCCTTAATTATAGTTTATTTTAGATGATTAAAATGTAAGAATAAGTATATATCAAAATTTTTAACACCTTATCGGAATCGAACCAATATCAATTAGGCCGAAACTAATTACTTTACCATTAAGCTAAAAGTGCTTATTTCATTTTATAATAAACCTATTAAATAAACTACTTATAATAAGTTAGAGCAAAATTTTAGGTTAATTTTTAAAGCCTAGTAGTATAAAAGTCCAAAAATTTAAAATCCCTCCTTTAAAATCCTTTTGTTAAATTTTAACCTTATTTTTAATTCAAACACCAACCCTAATGAACCTAAATTTATAGTTATCCTAATTATAAAACAATTAAATAAAACAATACTACTATAAAGATTATAAGAAAAATTAATAATTTAAAATTTAATATGATACTATAGCTTATAAAAAAAAATGGTTTGGTGCTATTGAATTTTACAATTTTTAATAAAGACCTACTAAAAGCATTTTTTAAAAATAAAAATTTAATAATAAAAACTAGATTTTAAAACTTAAGATAAAAATTAAAAGATATTATTTGTACTGAATTGTGTTTTTAGTAAACAGTTGATGCTCTTTTTAAGTTAAATAAATAAAATAATTATAATTATATTTAAGGGTAAATAAGCCGTCTGGTAAAATTTGTCTATACTAAATTTAAAAATAGGGATAAAGGGACTTGAACCCTTACAGTAAAACCATACCCTCCTAAGGGGCACCTGACTACCAAATTCCAGCATATCCCTTTTAACATTATATTTGATTATTAAATTTTAGTATATTAATTTATATTTAATGCTGGCAATATATAATTTTGCTTTTAAATTAAGGTTAATTCTTGATATTAACCTTAGGAAAAAAAAAGCCTATAAAGACTAATTTTTCCTTTTTAATTTTAATAAAACCTAAGACATTAGAAGGATTCGAACCTTCGAGAAAAGCATTAACAGTGCCCCGCATTAACCACTTTGCTATAATGTCAATTTTAATTTAGTCCTACAGTTATTAAAATATTTTAGCTTTTGTTATATACAACAAAAATAAATTTATGAAAAAATAATAGGCATAAAATAAATTAAAATTTAGTCCCTCTCAAGGGGGAAAAATAATAAAAATGAAATAATTAAAAACTAATTATAATTTTGACTTTTGCTAAAATGGGTTCAACAATTAATACGTAAAATTTTAAATAAGAATGTTTTGCAACTTTTTCTTTTAAGACAAAAACCTAATTAATTTTAATAATATAAATTAATTAAGAATTAAAAAAGCATAAATCTCGGAATAGTAGGTCTCGAACCCACAATCTCCTTGACCCAAACAAGGCAACTCAACCAATTAGTCTTTATTCCGTTTCATTTTTTCAACAATAATTCTTAAGATAAAAATTTACCCAGTTTTTAAAAACAAATTTTGAAAGATATTATTAAGTCTTATTTTAAAACTGCCTTTAATTTAAAAACAATATTTTATAATGATAAATTGTTTTAGTTACAAATAATATAATTTGTATTATTCAAATTAAATTTATGCTTAATATTAGCCTTATTATAAATTTAAAAATACTACTCACTTGTAAAATAAAAATATTATTTTAGTGAACAGAAAAGCATGCTAAATTTTTTATTTTAAATACAAGTTAAAAAAAATATAGACATAAATATAAAAAAAGGTCGTTCATAATTAAAATTATAAATAATATTATAAATAAAATAAACAAATAAAATATAAAAACCAAGGTGCATTAAAGAAAATAAAAAATAAGAGATAGAGGATTTGAACCTCTACGAGCCACGTGTAAGATGGCCATTGTAACCATTCAATTAATCTCTCTATAATAGTTTTAGTCTAATGAATTTCATTAAATTAAAAAAGGGTAGATTATTGAATTTCTCTAAGGCGTGAATAAAATTAAAATGATTTTAATAATTTTAATATATTAGACGTAAGTTTATAAGCTGTTATATAAGATTTAGAATATTTATAATATAGAACAAATAATATTCTAATTATGTAAACGGGAATTTGTGACATAGTAATTACAAATTAAAATTGTCTTTAGTATTGCTTTGCCTCTAAAATAAACTTTGATACTAAGTCTACATAAACCATCTAAATTACCTAAAATCTATTTAAAGATTAAAGCTAAAGAAGAATGGAATAATAAACATTAGGTTCTTATTAAAATTTTTAATAAGATTTAACAACCGGCTATATTATAATATAAACAAGATGTTAGTATTTATTTTTTGATCAGACACGCAACCTATTTAAGAAATGTTCTATTTCTAGACTTTAATAAAATTATAGATTAGTCCTGTTTCCCTTTTTATTTTTATAAATAAAAGGTATAATTGAGCATATACTTATTATTTTATCGCAAAAAACAAGTAGCAGTTTTAATGTTTCTTATTTTTTGTAGGAAAATTTAGAGTATTTAACACAACGCTCAATCCTCAGGGCTGATTTAAGTTTAATAATGAACTACAAATTATTCATAAAAAACCGCTATCACCACAGTGTAAATATCCTTTAACATTAATATATATTTTTAGATCAAAAAATCCTAAATATATATAAAACGCGATATATTTATTAAATAGTTAACTATTTATGAACTGTGATAAAACATCTTCGTCTAGCCTTATAACTATACCGATTAGAGTATAATTTTTTTTAAACAGAAGATGTAAAAATTTTATCAGGAATTAAAACGTTGATTACCTTAAATGGTATAACAACGATGCAAAAGCATTATTTTAGCTTATTAGCTCTTTTTTCAAAGGCGTAAATTAAGTGATAAAATATTAATAAATAATTCCTTGTTGATTAGTATCTGGGGGATAAATTCGAGCTTAATATGCAATCAGCTCTTATATAATTTGTTTGTGGCTACCCTACGGTGCTGTATATTTTAATATTACAACAATAGGTACACTATAGAAACATATCTTATTGATCCTTTCGTACTAGAAAGACTGCCCCCTTTTACTTCTTTTTCCTTCAGAGGATAGGATCCATACTGTCTCACGACGTATTAAACCCAACTCACGTAACCTTTTAATCGGCGAACAGCCGAACCCTTCCGAGATTTTTCCCCCGGAGGAGAGGTTGAGTCGACATCGAGGTCCCAGTCAACCCGCGCAATATGAACTCTCACGGGTGGTAAGGCTGTTATCCCTAGCGTAACTTTAATCTTCTAATCGATACCGCCCCCATAGGCTAATATCTGGTCACTAGGTCCCACTTGCGTGCCTGCTTGATCTATCAATCTTACAGTCAGATAATTTTCTGCCCTTACACATTTACCGGTCAAAACGACCTATTGTTCTCCATACAATGTAAATTATTATCTTATAAATTTGAAAGCTCTTCGATACGTTTTCGAAGGCTAACGCCCCATTAAAACTACCAGATAGTCACTGTTCTTTTTGATTAATTAAAAAGTAATTTTTTCCCAATATTTCGCTAAGGTTTTTCATCTTTGTCAATCGACATGACCTTTTATACTACAAGCTTGTAACAGGAAAAAAAATAACTATTTATAGTAAAGCTGCATAGGGTCTTCCCGTCCGGCTGAAGGCAACCCGCATCTTCACGGGTATTTCAATTTCGCTGAGAGACTCGTTGAGACAGTGGAACAATCATTATATTATTCGTGCAGGACCACATTTAATGGCCAAGGAATTTCGCTACCTGAGGACCCTCATAGTTAAGGCCGCTGTTTAACAGACTTTCAAGATATAACAAATTCATTACATTCTTTTTGGTTACTGTCACGGAGCAAATCTCATCCAGTATACTAATAAATTATTATTTGCACTGAATTGTGTTTTTAGTAAACAGTTGGTGCTCCCGATTTTGTGCTCCTCTTAATTATATTATTAGATTAACTAATTATATAACGCCTTATGGCGAGAGGTTACTCTTGTTGTCAAACGTTTGAGTCAATTTTGCCGAGTTCCTTAACGAGCCTTATCTCTACGCCTTAGTATTCTCTACCAACGAACCAGTGTCGGTTTAGGGTACGGTAGTTAAGAGGAAATAGCCGACAAAGTACTTAAAGTACTGTACGAAATCTAAATCCCTGGTCCTTTTTTCTTGTTTTAAATATTTTATTAATTTTTTTTATTGAGACAAAAATCTTAATAAAAAAATATTATATACTTAAAATTTTACTACTAACATTTAATTAAAAAAAAAATAATAATAGTATAGACCAAAACTCATCAGGTTGTGCTTTTGCACGTAATTTTTAATCCTTAGAGACCGCTTTAAAAAATTCGATTTGAAAATTCTTCGAATTAAAACCCTTTCGTTTTCGGCGAGAAGGATTATTTTCCTTCTTTAACGCTACTCATGTCAGCATTATCTCTTCATATACTTTCACATATAATTGAAAACTATTTTTCTATAAGTATAGAATGAATTGATACCCTACTGAATATTTTTAATAAATTATAATTCAAATATGTTGCTAAATGTAGGTCCAGCTTACATAAAAAAAAATTAATAATTGGTTTTTAATGAAATATAAAATAAATTATAAATATCAGCGACACGATTTCGGTAAATTATTTGAGACCCGGTAAATTTTCGGTGCATTAATTAATATTTTATTAAAACTAATATAACATATTTAAGGCTAAAGTAGTTAAATAAAACAAATTGAATTGGGCTTGCGCGTTTTTACACGATCATTATTAGTTAGCAACTTCCGAGCTCACCAACAAGCTGTATATCAAAAAAATACATCCTTATGTTCACTTAATAATTTTTGGGGAACCTTAATACGTGTTCTCGGCTGTTGCCGTTTTGATTACCCGCCTTAGCACGAGTAATCTGAATATCTTTTGAAAATTAATTGTAATTCCGAAATTAGCTACCAATGATAGGCTTTTCACGGCCCCCATTTATATTCTTATTATATTATAATTTGAACGCTGGTATCAGCTTGTTGTACCTACAATAATTTTACACTTGTAATTAAATACAAGTGAGCAGTATTAATGCTTAAAAGACTCAATACGAAAATATTTTTCTCAATTCTAATCAGCTATCTCGAAGTCAGATTTATCTTTCACTGCTTACCACAATTCATCGGATGGCAATGCAACGCCAAACCGTTCGATCCTTTAATAATCTGATCATGGTAAGATCACTTCGTTTCGGATCTAATATAAAGAACTTACTCGCTACCCAAAATTATTTAAAACTTTGTTATATAGATTATTAAATCATATATTGCTTTTTAAAAAGCAGGTGCAATCGCTTTCGCTAGGGCTATTAACCTTGCTCTTTGATATTAACTTGCTGACCCATTATACAAAAGGTACATTTTTAAATTTAATTTAGTTTTTGATATTGCCGGTTTATATTCTTCCGGTTAATTCATTTATTACTATTTAAAAATTGCTTATAGAGTAACTAATTCATTTTCTTCATTCCTTCACAGTACTTTTGCGCTACCGCTAAGTTCATTATATTTAGCCTTAGAGGATGGCTCCCCTGATAAGCTAACACCTTTAAGTAAAAGTGTTTGCTATTTTTTCCAACAAGTTTAAACTCGTTGTACTTTTGATAATTATATTATAAATTCTATACAGAGCGACCACCAGTATGTTTAAATTCATTTTTCTTTAAAAATATTACAACCTTTACAGCGTGGTTTCTTTTTTAGCACTGTGTGTTCTTTTTTAATTAAGAATTTCACACGCTACTCCTTTTTTAAAGTAACAATAAATTAGTTTAACTTAAAAAATATCTTCGCTGGGATTTTATCCCAAAATTCAAGCTTATAGTAATTTATTTAGAAATATTATTTATTACTTTTTTTTAAACTTTTAAGCACAATGTGTATTATAATTAAAAGTAAAAACTAAATAAATTTTATACTATTATGCGGCTGAATTTTCTTCCCTTTTTATGAGAATTTATAATTTAATTTAGGCTTTTCCACGTTCACTCACCGTTACTAGTAGAATCTCGGTTGGTTTCTTTTCCTTCTCCTAACACAATGATTTGGGCCGGAGAGTAAAAATTTTAGATATTTATTTTAATAGTATTATTAAAATAAATATTAATAAAGTTTCCTTTAGGTTTGTTTAAAAATTTGTAAAAATTATTTAATTAATAAATAAATTTTAAAACACTTTATTTATTCTTTAAAATAAAGAAAAAATAAAGTCTAAACGTTTCGTCAAAGCTAGACGACCTTTTAAAATGAACTTGCTCAAAATCCATAATTACTCTTAAATTAGATTTGGTAATTAAATTTCTATGTCATTCTACCGTTACTTTTAAAAAAAATGTAGCATCATTTTAAAAAAATGCTACATAAAAAAAAATAAAAAAAAAAGTGTTTATAAAAAATCCTACACATACTACACTTTTTAAAAACTAATAATCTATGCACTAATAGAAATAATATTTGTTAAAAAGTGTCAGATGGTATTCTCCGTATAGAAGGTAGTTTATGTTGTTATGTAGTTATTTTTATTTCATCCTACAACCTTTTTAAAACCTAATGTAATACTAATTTATATTAATTAAAATAAAAATAATAAAATATTTAATATTAATATATTAAAATATTAATAATACAAAAATAAAATACAAAATTAGCAAAATAATATAAAAATATTAAATTAAAACATTAAAAAAATTAAGTAATAATAAAGGAAAAATATTAAATTTTACAATTTTTACTCTAAAATAATTTTACTTTTAGCATACATAATGTTAAATTTTATAATAAATTTTGAAAAAAAAAAAATTAAATTTAAACATTAAAGAAAATTTAAAATTGATAAATTAAAATTTTTAATACAAAT